TTACATAATAAAAAGTAATAAAATGTTCACTGAAGAATATAGATAAACAATCATTATTTCAAATAATTTAGAGAAATAATTTTTTTAATTTTTTAAATTGTATATATTTATTTATTATTTTTCTAGGGAGGGGAGGGAAAGAGATGTGTTTTATTGACAGATGAATAGCTCGACATCAAACAATTCATTGCTTTTTTTGATATTTATTACATAAAAAAAAAATCATCTTGCATACTACAGAAAGGAAAAATAAACTTCAAAAAATATATCACAGGGAAATTCCTATTTCGGTAAATAAAAGTATTTAAAGAAAAATGTATTCAGACCTTGTGATGCGTATCCCTGGAGACCGAGTGCGTTAGTGGCATTTGAACTGTTGCTTAAAGATGTTGTTGGAGACGATCCTGGAATGAGGAACAATAAAGCACAAAATTCATCACATTGACAATTGATAGCATAACAAAGAAAGGTCAATTAGAAGCCGTTGTATTGTCAAATATGGATATTATTATTATGGTAGTCATGTAATAAAAACATGACAACAACCATAACACTGCTATTAGTTGATTAAAAATTCTTTACTATTGTGATTTGTGTGTGACGGCAATATAACATCACTGCGACACAACAGGCGTCAGAAGTATTAAAACAAGTGTTATTTAAAACCACAAAAAAAAAAAAAAAAAAAAAAAAAATTATGAATTACTATGATTATTACTCTACCATACTCTCACTTTACCGCATGATGTATAAGGTAAAGTGTGTATACTCATTTGATCTCACCTAATAAGGAGTTTTTTTGCAATGAATTTAGCAAGTTGTCAAATTAATTTCATTGCCAAGTAGAATAATAAACATTACTCTTGATAAAAATAAGATATATATATAATATCTTTGTATTTTTGTGCAACATGTACTATAGACATCAATATCAGTTTAATATAAATTTATCAAATGTTGATTATTTATGCCAAGAATACTTGCACCAGTCTTATAATACATTTGTGAAAATGGAATGCACTGTTTTGATAGGATATTGGGGAGACCTATTGCTCAATTTAACATAATGCTCAACTCCTGGTAAAAATATGGTTCTTTCCCGCGGGCGAAAATATAATTTCAATTTCTTCTAGCTTGCAAATTGCCAGTTTCTTAAATGTGCCAACTAATAATGCATTTCGTTCTCTTGTACTTCATGCACGTTGGAAGTGTCAAGTGAATTCTCTGTAGAGATTTGTTTTTGCACCAATTGATCAATAAAGCATGTTTTTGCCTCTTTAATGCAGACAACAACCATCAATATTAAGCTCTGCATCAAAAAACACCAATGACAAATCTCATGCATAATCAAAGTATTCTATAAATGTAGCCCCTTTTTTTGTGCATATTTTCCCCTACAGCAATCATGATCCTCATCACACCATACTGAACCAGCCTTTTGGCGTTGATCTTTTTCCATGTGCACCACCTTACCTGTAAGCGACAACTAGTACATCATTATCATCAATTTCTCTGATGTCTCATTCAAAGAGATACACTAAGCTATTTCAAAATTTCCACAAATTTGACTGGCTCTGGCAAAACCAACCATTGTAGGAAAAATTCAAAATTTAGTGTTTTTATATTTTGCATAAATTCTTTAAAACAGTGTTTATTTGATAGAAATTAGTTGTGTATTAGCTAAGTTTTGAATATCTAATTAATTGGATATCAACCATTTGGGTTTTGAGAAAATAGCTTCCAAAGATTCCATAATCAATAGTTTATTTAACTTTTCGGTTAGATTTAGTGATTGATATTTTGCAGAAATGTTAAATGTTATCTTCCCTTATAAAATGCAAAAACATGACAATATTCACAATTCTGATACTCAATCATTTTGGATGCTGTGGGAAATTAGAAATTGCAACAAATGGCGGATTTTGCCAGAGCTGGTCACAAACAATTCCCACCAAACTAAATCTCACCTGTAGATAAACCAGAGAAACTGTTATGGGCTTGGGCAACGTGAAGTTGTTGCGAAGCTTGAAGCTGTTGTGCTGCTGCAGCTGCTGCCGCCGCCGCTGCAGCTGCCCCTGTTGGTGTCATGGGACCCTGTCCGCCACTTGTTAGTGCTGAAATTTGTTGCATTGCCTGAAACGCTGGGAAGGAATATAAATATGACAGATTCATTATTTGTCGTGTATAATAACAAACCTACAACAAAATATGAACTAACAGTACTTATCAAAAGTGGTCTTAATCTTCAAATAAGGCCTAGCTTTCAAACAATCATGGATGGATGATAACAGATTATATTATTAAAGATGTGATCACGAGTATTAAGAAAAATGTTAAAATCACAATATTTAAAATACTTATTCACTCTGTTTAAAGAGTGTAAGTTGAATGGTATTAATGATAAATCCTTATGTAAAATCATTCAAAGTTAGCATTAACTGAACTGTTCTGAGATTCCTGTGAATATGTTCCTGTGCATGTGTGAATATGTTCCTGTGCATGTGTGAATGAGATTCCTGTGCATGTGTGAATAAGATTCCTGTGCATGTGTGGATGAGATACCTGTGAATGTGTGGATGAGATACCTGTGCATGTGTGGATGAGATTCCTGTGCATGTGTGAATAAGATTCCTGTGCATATTTGGATGAGATACCTGTGAATGTGTGGATGAGATTCCGGTGCATGAGTGAATGAGATTCCTGTGCATGTGTGAATGAGATTCCTGTGCATGTGTGAATGAGATTCCGATGTATGAGTGAATGAGATTCCGGTGCATGAGTGAATGAGATTCCGGTGCATGAGTGAATGAGATTCCGGTGTATGAGTGAATGAGATTCCTGTGCATGTGTGAATGAGATTCCGGTGCATGAGTGAATGAGATTCCTGTGCATGTGTGAATGAGATTCCTGTGCATGAGTGAATGACATGAATGTACTTGTGTGATTGACATGAATGTGCATGTGTGATTGAAATGTATGTGCATGTGTGAATGAGATTCCTGTGTATGTCTTAATCAGATAAAATGTACATATGTGAATGAGATGAGCCTGTGTGAATCAGATAAATGTACATAAAGTGGATGAGATTCCTATGCATGTGTGAATGAGGTAAATATGCACGAGTGAATGAGGTGTATTACATGTCATTATGCTATCAAAAAAAAAAGGTTGAAAGAATTAGACAGAAATATGAATGTATGCACAGATTGGAATTGGGTGCTCCAACATTTACTCCTATTTATTGCCTATCTGACATGTTGTACAAATGTATGCAAAATAATTCTTAGTGAGCATTGATTTAATAACATTTGAATAATCTCATTTCTGTACACATACTGTACATGCCACATAAACACTGAGTGATAGAATGGCCCATCAATCAATCACCCAAATACTCACTCAATGCTTAAACATATCAAAATGGTGTCAACTGACAGCCTATTGACATTTAAATACATTATATTTGATTTATATATTTAGGCATCAACCCAGGGAATTGCAAATCAGTGAAAACACACACAGAAAAAACGAAAGGAAATGAATTGGTAATGCAATATCTGCAAAAGAATAACTCTTTTCTAAGTTAATACACACAAGTCATTAATGTGATTACTATGCACATAGGATTAACAGCTGACCATCTGATCTAATGGATTGAGTATTTCTCGCTAATGATCACAAGGCCGCACGTTTAAAACAAGGGAATACTCCCCCTAATCTGAATCAATTAGCTCTTTACCATCACACCTAGTGTAGTGTGGGATTTAGCAATGACTGATTATAGGCGGTCATGTGACCTAACTAGGGTATACATGAAAAATATTACAGTGCGATAGCATAGGAAAAGATAATGTTATGGTTGCAAAAACAACCACCCACTGTTAACATGAGAACTAAATTGCTAGGAAAGGCAATAAATTGTTCAAAACAGTGTTTATTTCCTTATCCTAGCATTCTCCTTAAATTGTATGCTTTGAAATTTAAGTGATCCGTCATAAAACTTATGTGGCCCTAACATTGCAGCACATCCTAGATGTGCAGAAGCCTAGGCCTAACATTTGTCGAAAAATCTAAATGTTTACGGCCAGTATCCTTTACAGCATTAGCAAAACATTAAGGCAAAATTGTTAAGATTAATTTCCAATAAATTAAACAAGGGACGGCCGCGATAGAAATCTCCATGTAAAACACCGCTGTGTCAGTGGAATGTTTATGTCCAACACCCAAGTTAGGTCATGTGATGCCCATCGCTAAATCCCTCTATTGAAAAAAAGTAGGAAAAAGACAGCCATCACAAAGAATAGAAAAATAAAAAAATAAAGACCAGGAAATAAAGACCAGGCCCAGGATTTATCAATCTCAGCTTAGCAAATGTCTCAAGTCAAAAAAGTCCCTAATAATTATCATAAGTTGATTTATTACCCAGTCTTAGCAAAATCTTGGCCTAAAAATCGTCTTAGATGGTGCCAACATACAATCGACTTTCTAATTTTAAGCAATTTTTAAGCTAAGCAATATAGATGAATTTTACTTAAGCAAAAAAATGGACTTGAGACGAATTTAAGCTGATTTCTAGTTTGATAAATGTGGCCCCTGGTTTGTTGGGACTGGTAATCTTACTGGCTAGTTGCTGTTGAATTGGGTTTGTGTTTGTTGGTCCAGCTGCTCCTCCTGCTGGCATTCCCTACAAAGATACAAAGGGTTCAAATAAAACATTACATAGAAATATAATAACCAGAGCCTTGCAGGCGTCAACGTTCCTATGCATGATACATGACTTAAAAAGTATATATGCCCTATATATATACTGTCTCTTATACACATCTAGTGTAAGTTGAATGGTATTAATGATAAATCCTTATGTAAAATCATTCAAAGTTAGCTATATATGTTGGGTCAAATTTGTGTGGGGGTTGAAAAATACAGGGTAGTCTTTATGGCCCAAAATAGTGATTTTATTAATGTAATTCGACAGGGAAATTACAGTAATATTTGTAGCAAATTTCTTCGAAAAAATTTCGTAGGCATAGTGCCTAGGCCTAGCTAGGTATACAGTAATTTCATTTTACAGTAGTTTGGAACGATATCAGGAGTGGGGGTGGTGGCAGTGGCCTACTAGGACTACAATTCATTTGAAGCTATCTTGGGTCCGATCGTCCACACCAGTTGGGCTCAATCGTCTGTCACCCTAAGTTTTCTAGGCTAGGCTTAGATTACTGCCGTCACTCTGCTACGTATACTACTACCGCATAACAAAGAAAGCGACCCACGCGGTGCATGATTAAATTGTACACACATTATTAAAATGTATTAGACGATAACACGATATCACTGACTGAACGATCTACCACCCTCGCATCGCAGTAACTACTGTACTGAACTAGGCCTAGCTTAGGCCTAATGTTTTTGTGGAAAGTTATGTACCCGACAGTCGGCTGCCTTTATATCTTCACTTGTCTTCAATTTGTATTCAAAGGGTACATTGCTGCATAGCCAACTGTCGGGGATATGGTACCTTCATATAACTACTCCATAGAGGTATTTCTAGTATCTTTGATAATAAGAATACTAGAGCGCTAACCGCAATGTATTCGATGTTCGAAATACGCACAACTGTGTGGGTACCATCCAAGATGACTGCCATAGATTTAGCCAATCAAATTTCGCTAAGCACCATCGTTTGCAATTGCGCCCTCAATTTACTCAGAGGGTTCAGTACAGTTAGCTACCCGTATGTTTGAAACTCGAGCGTTGCGGTGTTTGGGTGTAATGTACACGATTTTAATTTTCATTCCTTGGTACTTTATTTTTGAATAAGATGCTCCACTTGGCCTCGTTTAGGCTACAATAGTTTAATAATTTGTTATTACCAGTTACTCATTATCATTAATGAAATAATAGTCAGTCAGAGAGGGCTTATTTATGGTAATAATATGTATACTAAGCCTGAAGGTGTCGCTTTACTACGACGGCCATCTTGGTACACATGCATAACTCTGCATTGCTGCACCATCTTGTCAACACTCTGTTGTTTAATAGATCTATGGACTACTCATACAACAGAAAAAAACGTCGCATGGAGTTAGTGAAAAATAGAGATCTAAATTAAAAAACGATGTATTTCAGCGAGTATTAAAACCTTTGTTTTATTTTAGGCCTTCTTCAAAATACCTATGCCACAGCAGTTGATTTTTTTTTGCCGTAAAACCAAAATAGTTTCATGCATGCCGACTTGCCGATCGGTCAGCGTGAGCCCTGACTGAACTCTGCAGAAACTTCACATTGAACTTCGCATCGGGATGTAAAATAAAATGTTGGAAAACTTTTCTTTGATGCATGCGCATTTGCATAAATGTCTACACACATACTAAACACACATACTAAACACAATAAAAAACAAAAGAAATGTGACTAAGAGTGATTACAATAGTTCCACGCATAGGAACTAAAAATTCAGTAAAGGTTTAGTACAACCCTCTTCCCCATGCAGTCATCTCTAACTACTATTCTTAATGCCATCGTTTCTGGCTACTTCTTTCCCCTGCTATTATACACTAGCAACAACTCATTCATGTTTCATGTTGTAACATCAAGCCAACAATTCATCATCCATGTCATCATTGTATCCAGTTAATAACCAAAAGAAATTAGTTCAAAATTAAATCCAGGTAGAATATGCTCTAAATTCATATACACACCACAGAGTAATTACCTTTGCATTGAAGGACCCCATCTCCTTTTATTCATAAAATGTGGAGTTGAAATATATTAAGACAAGCTCCTGATCTTTTGATCTTTTATATATATTTGGTTTTCATATCATATGCAATTACTATCTCTAAATATATAATTGTCAATTGTGGATTCTCTACATGTACAGACATAAATCTGGAAATGTTCTACAGATAGCTATTATTGAGAAATATGGCAAGCCATTCAATAGTAAATACATTTTACGTACAGTACATACATATTACCATAATATAATTGGAAATATGGTCATTGAGAAGTTCTAAATGTTATATACAATATATACATCAATATAAGCTACTCTTCAACAGTATAAAACAATACAGATTTACTTTCAAATGAGTATAATAATGATACATTATCCAATATATTTAATTCTGAGGGATGTTAGAATTTAGAGGTAACGCATTCTTATTCTTGCAGTCAACCTTACATTTGAGCTGTAATCAAGAAGAGCTGACTGCCTCCATTTGTCTAGGCAGGCTCAAATTTTTTGTAAGCATCACTTCAAGTTCAAGAGAGTAAAACATTGTCTGTTGGCAATAATAGATTGAGTTGTTTGAATCAGTTAAAATCAAAGTGCAACTTTGAGGGGTGACAACACAACACAAATTGAACAAAGCAGCTCAAAATATAATAGCAATCTTCAATGTCAAGCGAAGAGAACATCAACCAAGTTAGTTATCAGGCGTTTTTAGATTGTTGACTTGAGACAGTTATGATTATCAAATACTCATGTGTTCATTTAGCTTGTTTGCATGTTCTCATGGACATTTTATCCTCATTGGTAGATAATAAGCGTGTCTTTGTTCATCAATTGAAAATGCCTCAAAGACGAAATGCCTGTTAATTTACAGTATCTTTAAGTGGTTAAGAAAATGAACAAGTCAAGTCTTGATTTAAAAAATCAGCCTTTAATTTTAATGATGTATATGAATGAACAGTGCATGTATATGACCATAGTAAAATATAACTGATGAGACAGGGCAGGAGGGCTGGCATGCAGTGATGAGAATTTGGTTAGTGATAGGTAGGCTATGTTCAGTGCGGTCCATATTTTCAGGTGTTTGTTAAGCAACTGTTGGGATGTGTCTACGCACACAATTGTATGAATGTGTGTTTTGCACATATTCACATAAATCCAAAATGATGCCAAAAGTTCAAATTTAGTACTGGGCTATCTAATCCAATTTTGTTGCCCAGGAGTCTAATGAAAAATTAGGTGGTATAGGCCTACTGTTAGTGATTGGTGAATAAATTTCCTAAAAAACCAACTAACCTAATTTAATAAGCACTATTACCCCGCCACGCATATATTCAACATAATATCAATTTGACACAAATTTTATGAGACAGCCACTTCTAAGCAAGATACTTATATTTTGGAATCTTTTTATTCTCTGATTCAAATAAAATTAAGAACTAAGTTTACAGGTTCATTAAAAACTCTAATTGGGTAGTTTTTATGTTTCTGATTTAAGAAATTCCCAAACTGTATTATATTTAAATGTTGAGCAATTTACATGGCCTGTAAAGGCAGCACGTCGACTAGTCAACACTGCAATTAGCTAGCCCAGTGGGCTATTTCATTTTAGTGAGCAGCACTCATTTTTCTATGCCTTCTGAACATAGAACATGCATGCTGAGATAGCCATCACTGACTTGTAGAGGGAAGCATCAAATAGCGTCAATAAAGAATGTACTCTATGTAAAGTAACTGGATATATATATACCGAGATGTGGACTCCTTACTTATCTTGAAAGATATACTGGGTTCTTTAAAGTGCACATGAGCCAAATTGTGTACACTGGGCCTAAAATATGTCCTAAATAAATCGTAATTATTACGATTGTTTTTGAGATTATGCCAGTATACTTACGTAATTTTGATTAGTGAGTGTAGCCATCATTGCCGTTGCAAAGGCTTGTGAACTCATTAGATTTTGTGCCATCTTTTGCCATCGCTTCTGTTCTTTTTCTTTGGTTGTGTCTGCAAACTTTACAACTAAAGGTGCTGAACAGCCCTGTGAAGAACAAAAAAAATATTTTATACAAATATAAATTTTAAACTGAGTTTATGTATTACATATCTGCTAGGTAAATTAAGTATTGTGTGTGCGCTATAAAAATGTATTATTGTGTTATATAAATTACAATACTTTATGGTTTAATTATAAATAATAAAATTTATATAGTTACAAATAAAATAATTTCATGTACAGTAATTTAACCACTAAAATGACATTTTAGGGTAATGGTTGAATTTTGAAATTAAACAAATTTTTTAAAACCTTCCACAAGCCTATATAATGCTAACTAGAACTATGAACACTACCATTTTTAATATAAAAAGCAGATTACATTTTGAGACAGCCAAGACTGTAATTACTGTAAGGTTGTGGAATTTGAAATTGCACTCATCAGCATATGTTTTTTGTTATTAAACTAGGACTGTTTGATATTGAGATTTACCTTTATGAGTTTAAAAAGACCATTAAATGATGAGTTTATTATGATTATAATTGGTAAAAAGTTACAATCATGATTTGGAGAAAAATAAAAGTTTAAAGTGCATCTTAGCATGAATCATTGCCTAGATTGAGCTGTAAACAAAACTTGTAGCATTTTACTTTTAGAGTGAATGCTGTTAGTGTGATAGCCGCAGACTACTATGTGTTATGTCTTGTTTTATGATTAATATTTTAATACTTTATAGCTCATAAAGATCTGAAATACCATGCCAAATCTGGTAATTAATACCTTGAGATGCATTAACATTTCAAATGGCACTATGAATGCATGACAACGGTGTACTGTTCTTTCAAAATAGTGATTATCCTCTCCTTAACAAGCTAGCATTCAATAATAATTACTCGAAAATCAAACAGGCTTGCCATATTTTGTGAATTTATTACTTTTCATTTTGCCATAAATACATATTTTATGAACATAGCTATATAAGTAGATACTATAAATAATGCACACTCTGATTATGCTTTAATAAAACATAATTTAAACAGAATTCTATGAGGGCTAAACATCAGAGTTTGTTAATTTAGTTAGCAAATTAAAATATTGTATCAAAAACACAAGGAGTATACAGTAAGCCAAAAATATAATATTTCGACCAACAATTTGAAAACATTACTTGTGTTGAAACTAAACAAGTCTGACTATATTTAGTTGTGCTATATACAGTGAAACAGAGTAATTCAACTTGCAAGATAGGATCTTCAAAATAATTCAACTGAAACCAGCTTAGTACAATCAGTCTTACCACAACTAACAGTAAAACAATTTCATATTCCACAGATCTATAATTGGCCTATCAGTGATGAAAACATGATTTCTTTCACTCACATTTTCATAGCAACCACTTAGCAGCTCACACAGCTACTAAGTCTGCAATTTAACCTGTGCCAGGCTGCACTTTAATAATCTGCTTGTGTTCATGGAAATTTAGTAGCGCCTTGATGTAAAGTTTGTTTTAAGAGTATGAAATGACATGGGAGCTTGTTAAGTTGCTCAGTTATGCCATATAATATTACGTATCACTTCAAATAATCAGGTAAAATTTACTTCTACGAAAGATAAAAAAAAAAGGCAACAATTTACTTATGTAGCAAATGAAGTGTAACTATTTCATTAAATTTTTCAGGGTGTTGTCAGCCAAAAAACAAAACTGTTATATTTTATTCTGAATAAATAGTTTTGTGCTTTCCAAGAGAACTTTTATATTCTCAGATGAACATTATTTAAACTCATCAAAGTCAGAAGTGGAACGTAAAATTTGGTTTTGTAGTCAGATTTGTGAGAAAAACTTCAGCTACCCTATTTCTCGACTGAGACGTCAGTGGGAGCTGTAATTTGTATGGCAAGGAGATGGTGCTACCCTTAATTCGTATTATGGAATTTATGCCCACAAACCTTGTAGTTATTAATATTTTTGTTATAATAGAAAATTTTTATTTTTTGGTGACGTCACACTCACAATATAGTTAACATGCATACGTAAGTAAGGCAAACTTTCCTGGTGTGCTTTTTTCATGGATAAACACCACTTTTTTGCACATGGATGCCTTGTCTAGCTAGGGCTACAAGAGCCACATTGTTAGCATTGTTTAATACTTAAACAAGGTACGTCTGCAACTGAATTTTTCTTATTTAATTTTTTTTCTTATTTTAATTTTATTTCTTTCGAAAGTGTACTTTCTATAACATATAATTGCACTGTCTACTTAGGCCAAGCCTTACTAATTAATAGCCTCACCGTCCCCCGCTACACGGTAGATCAGTAGGCTAGGCAACAGAACGTGATGTGCCACCCTTCCCAGGTTTTCATGTAACATTTGCATATTGTTGGCTAAACAACGTATGCTTACCATTCCCCCCCCCCCCCACGCTACAGTACAGACGTATGCTAGGCAACAGAACGTGATATTGCACCTTCCTTCCCAGGTGTTCATGTTATATTTGCATATTACTAGCTAACTAGCTGCGTGTATAAAGCATTTGCATCCCCTCTTGTTACGTCTCATTGCCTTCATTTTCCTTTTCTAATCTTTTCCTTGTGCCTTTTGGCAGAGTTTTCCTCCACTAAGACCGTTTTATTTGTATTATTCCAAAGCTTTACAATACTGTATCCTCTGAAGACACCTCAATTGATATATTTTCCGACAATTTCTATTTTTAACCATAAAATTTGGAAAGTTCTTCACAATATTTCTTAGGTTTTTATGTTCCGGGCTTTTAATCTTATCATTATTGCTTTGCTTTTTTATTGACATTTTTTATTAATGATTGTATTATTGTTGTTTCTTTGGGTTCTTTTGCCTGTTGTTGTTGTTTGTGTTGTTTTTTCTTTCTGATTTTTTTCTTTTTAGCTTTAATATTTATATCTTATTCTGAATCTTTTCTGTTGGGTAAGATTTGAAATAAAATAATTTAATACGAGTAACAAGTGCTCTGATCTTAAAAAATAGCGTAATGGCTGTCCCAGAAAAATAGAGTGTTGTACACTGTACATTATTAGTATGAGACTTTTTTTTATCATGATCTCTGTTACTTTTACACTGGAAGGGTAAAGTTGTCTGTTGAAATGTGAATGGGTTGTTGGTTCAGCAGCAAGTTGTTGTATAGTTTCATAAGCTAAGGTAGCTGAGCATGAAGTAATTGAGATAGTGGTTACTTTTCATCAACACTTATCTGGCTTATGATCAATTACATTCCTTGTCTGTAGCTCATGTCTAACATAATACTAAGCTAGGAGGATTTGTCGTCTCAAATATGTCAAACTACCAATTTACATATTTGAACATTACATAAGGATAATAAAGTTAACGGACGAATACAAGGCATCTAACTGTTTGCTGCCTCGTCACATCACGCCTCAGTCACTGCAATTCATCATTATACAGCATCGCTGAACACGACCTCACAGACATTCAATGCGCAGCGGCTAATTAAGTTCGCTTTGTGCAATGGAAGAGCAAATGGATAACCAAAATCATTGAAAATAATGTTTTTAGTGTTTTAAAGGTATGGACTTGTTAGGTGGAAACATAATGTTGATATTGATAGCACCAGACAGCATGTTCCCTAGACTTATGTTACCAGTGGAAACCATACTTTCTCCTATTCTACTCAGTGGCAGATCTAGGATAAATTTTCTGGGGGGGGGGGATAAGCTGTCCGACAGGGGCAATTTGAGCTTGTAGACCCGAGCTAGGGGAAGGGGTTGAATAGAGTTCCCCATCCCAAATGAGATTTTTTTTAAGAATAGCAACCTCTGAATGGCCAGAAATGGCACTCACAGACTGTAACTGACATGTTGGCTTGGTGTGGGCCTATTTATATATTTTTTATGGTCTGACTGCCTGACCAGTTCTGTCCGACAAATATGGTTGACCTGTCCGGTGGGGGACTTAAGGCACCGCCACTGATTCTACTGCAATTCTATGAGATAATGAATTGACGTTCGAAACTCTACTTTAGTTACAACTTTAAACATAACCACCTCCTGAATTCATTTTAAATTTTCCTGTGTTCACAGGAATATGCTTCATTTGTTTATTGGATATTAAGTACTTTAATTATATAAGGCACAAATAGCCTTACTAAAAAAATAAGGGGAATGCCAGTGTGCCTCTGTTAATCCTCATTTAACATTGAATAGATTCCAAGTTATTTTTATGTCGCAAACGATGCTTGGCTACGCCATGATTAGATGAATGAGTGCGTTGTTGCACCGGGACTCCATAGCACAGGGGCTATTTAGCATGGCAGGAATAATGGCGGGCCTGCCACAATAGTTGCAATGTTGACCAGGACAGAGTGCGACTGTCATGAACTACTGTACAGTTCCAGAATTTCTTATTAGAATTAGAACGGTGTCAAACTTACCTCCATCGTTGTTGAATGGTGCATACTGTTAATTGCATTAGAGGCACTTTGCCGCGTACTAAAGGTTACAAAGGCACAACCTACAAAAAAAACAAAAAACAAATTAAGCAAACAATTAGAATAACATGTACTAGTATATAAGTTTTTCATCAAATTTTTCTAATCTACGCATTTACAAAAAATGCAATCATCACCAAGTTCTTGCATCAAAAAAATATATTTTATGTTCCAACCTGCACCTCTGAATCTACGAAGACTGAGAATTTAACTGTGCAGGTCTTAAGCTGTGGAATTGCTTGTCTATATACAGCAGAAAATTTCTTTCATTGAAGATATTCAAGATCGGAACCCATCAAAAATAAGCCAGCCAAGTGCTAGCTTAATGGGCTATCTAGATACTTATGTGTGTTTATAGTGTTTTTTAAGAGAGTATCAAATAAATTCCATCAATCATCAGCTTATGCCTGTATAACATCATCCGACATCATTTATCCATTTACACCAGTTGAAATATAAAAATCCTGAGCAGATTCTTTTTTTTTCGTATTATTGACAATTTTACATATCTAGCGACTATCAGAATATTGTAATGGGATGTGCTACTAATAAATTTGCGAGTCCATCACTATCATCGCTAACATACATCAAACTGCATGGCAATTACTACAGCTCCCTCTAGATGAAATTTAAATCCAACATCACTCGGACAGAATTTCAAATTCTAATATCGTCAGCAGTAACTTTCTGATGACTGATGATATCCATTAAACTTTGACCCTCTTCAAGGATACTGCGCATAAGATGCAGGATTAATAAGGATTATCTGATCTGAATCTGTCAAAACCCATTACAGTACAAATGTTGATCCACAAAGCTATCATCATTTATGGTTGTAAAATATTTACAATATATTCTCATTTTATCCCATTACAATTTATGGGTTTATAAATCCTAATATTACTTCTAATATATACACTTCTGCAAACTTATTGCAATTTTACCTATCAAATATGAAAGATTTTCAGTGTGTCCAATCACATAACATTACATGTTAGAATTTGACGTCGTAAAGGGCTACATTGCTTATATTGGCGGGAAGGCAGATAGATATGAATTGGAGACAGTGAATGGAATTTCTGCGTTATTTCCATTTCGCAGACTTGCCTTCTTTCTAATTATATTTCTGATTTATATTTTCTTTGGTTTTGAATACCTAAATTAGTTTCAGTTAAATTATTTGTATTGCTTTGCTTGATTGTGTTGTTTACATGGTAGAATAGGCTTTTAGTTGAATGGGCTTTGTGTTGAAATAAATCTTTCCCATGGAGTACTGACCGGAAGACATTTTGGTGGCTATGAAAGAGGGTGGAGCTTTATTTTTATTGGGAATAACGTTTTTATTCCTGACCACCAATTGAAATAGCAATAATTATATTATTTGGCTCTACTAATCAAATAGTTCACCCACTCCTTGAGAACGAAGAAAGTATCAGGGTAACTCAACCATGCCCATTAACAAAATAAAATACATCTTTCATCCTTTATTACTTACATAGTGTACTTAAGAGCTTAGCAATGCAAGAATTCAAGTAATCAACAAAAGATTCTTAAACATTAAATATGCTGGCAAAAACCAGTGGTGTATCTAAATGAAGGAACCATACTCCTGCTAGAGACAGTAAACCATATTTGCTGAACAATAACTATCATTACACTCAATGTTTTAGATGTTATTTTGATTATACTACAGCACTAAAGTCGTTGAATAAGTTAAATCAAACTTTATACTAATGTACAGTTATAATGTTTGGTAAATTGGCAAAACAATACCAAGTAGACAATCCTTCATTTTGAGCAGTGCTCATTTTGTCTTGGAACACTAATCAAACTATAATTTAAGTTCTTAAATGATTCGGCCTTAAAAAATGTAATATTGGACTATTTTGAAATTTTATAATATCTGGTCACTTTTTTCTGGAACACTAGAGACTTACTGCTTGAAATACACCTCAGAATAAAATATCCCAAGAAGAGGAAAAACCTTATTAGACAATTCTAACAAGAAGACTATAATTGATGTGTCAATGACACCACTTAATGATAAATTGGACAAGAAATCTAATAACCCAGTCGAATGAGAAATGAGATGATGGATAATTTGCAAGGCAAGGGGATAGAAAAATAACGATCTGACTACGGCAAAACAGATGGGAGGATTTCAGTGTGACAGCTCCTGTATGTATATTGATGCAGTGTACGATCCCCAAGCAAGATCAAGTTATGCGACCATCTATCTGAAGTTATTTAAGTCATGTATAGTACAATATTACTTGATGAGTTATGAGTAAATCTGTAGTTTGCCAATACCAGAGGGATACAGCACAACGCTACTGAGTAATAAGGACATAGTCTACTGATACCTGACACTGTTATAGTGCAATATTACTAAAGTACAATTACATAGTTATGGTGCAGCATTGCTAAATATGTGTAAAAAGTCTACTGATCCTGACTGAGAAAATGCAATATTACTATTAAAAGTAAGAGTACATAGTTTACTGTTACCAGAGGTTTACAGTGCAATATTACTAAGTATCTGTGCATAGTCTACTGATACCTGACTGCTATAGTGCAATATTACTAAATTACAAGTGCATAGTTTACTACTAAGTATATATGCATAGTCTACTTATATCTGACTATTTAATAGTGCAATATTACGAGTACATAGTTTTACATCAGGTTCACTGTGCAATCTTACTGAGTGATAAGCAATATCACCAATTATAACAAGTCAATCAGGATATAATTAGTTTAAGGCCAACATTATTTTCCTATCTTAAACCATGCACTAATTTTTTTTATTAGTGAATGGTTTGCTTGGCTTCTTTTGATTCGTGTGTGAAAGGTCAAGCCGAGGCCAAAGCCTACAGTAGATGAAATCATCACACAAACTACAAAAAAGGTGATTATTGTATTTTCTCAAAAGCTTAAGACAAGTTTTTACAAATGACAAATGTTTCAAATGTAGTGTTGGCATGTACTGCTGCAACAATCTGCATATGTTACTGACGGCTGCAACAAATATAATTTACAAAACAAACATTAAAAGATGGTGACTGACTTATAAACCAATTAGTATAGTTGCTTATCTATACATTACAGGAAAATATTATACTTTGGTTTATAGATTGACATTTTTTCATGCATTAATCTAAAATTCGGATAATTTCCACTAGTGCATAATACTAATTGCAAGTATATAATCTATAGATGCTAAAGAATTAAAACAATATTTCAAAATTCTGGCTTTAATATAAAATGCAGTGACAGTGCAATACTGTACAATGCAATTGCATTTCCTTTCTTTGGCTATCAATCTAATATGGCCAATTGTTATTTCTGTTTTATATATTTTATATGCAGAAGTGAAAAATATAAAAACATGAGACAATGTTTTATGTTGTTATTATCGATTTGATGCTTATTGCTTGACTGCATGCTAATACATAATAAATTTTCCAAATACTGGATATGGTAAACCCTTCTGGTTTTGTAGTTTTTAATACTTACTCATTTCCTAACACAAAATGTGATTTTTTTAAAATTGACATTTTAAATGACTGGTCTTTTTATTATCGATGAAAAAATTATGGCCCGAGATGATCAAATGAAAGTACTTTTTATATTACAGCACAAAACCTGGTTCTTTTATATTTTTCATAATGTTTGGGGTTTTTTTTTTCATAGTTTCAATATGTTAATATATATTTTTAAACCATATTCTTATTTAATCTGATTATATTTCAGCTATATCTACTTTAAAATATTACAAGATATATAATTATAAGTATTAAATATTATAGCATTATATTACTTGCACCTTCTCACAAAAAAGCTAAATATAATCATTATTTTTCATGCATCATCAACACAAAATACATAAATCAATTATTGAATATGACATACAATCAGCATGTTTATTCAACTAGAATAAATCCATTTTAAATTTTTCTTTATAAACTTCTTTAGTACCTCCTTACACAGCCGAGATATTTTGTGTTCATTTTGATTACTGGCCTTGGGAGGGTCAGATACATCAATGATAATTCAATCGCATTCTGCACCAGTAATAATTTTCCCAGCCGTGAAATTCATTTTACACGGCTAGTGAAACGGAATCGTGCTGCTCAGCTGCAGTCTCGTTAATATGAATTGCCCCTTTAAAAAAAAAAAATTAACAGGTGCGAAAACGGTTCATATGGGAATAAAAATTAAGATTTACTAATGTAGTTTACATTGAAAGTTTCTTAATCAGATATAATTGCTATGCAAGACATGGTGTTTCTTTAAATTACATCAGTGTTCATATTCGTGTCATTGGCAAGTGTGCGGCTGATTCACACCGTGTTGATTTGCACTTCTCGGGGCACATGATAATGCTATAGCATTCAAGAATCCTTAATAGTCCATGTGAAACACTAATATTATCTGCCTCATACACACAATACAGTCAAGATCAAAAGGAAGGCGGACTTTAAAAGCATTATAGCATGTTTAATTTTACTGTTAGCAAAGATCATTATCTAAAGCAACACTTTGTATTCAAAGATTCTCTATGAGCTAAGTACGGTATGTGATCATAACGATGCAACATGCTACATAAATTTGGTAAACACATTACCTTTTGCAGTGTATACACTACTATTACTATATTATTATATAGTTGAAGTTTTTAGCACCACCTGACAAGTACAACTATTACCATTCTCTAGCAGGACCCATTATTGATGTGATAGATATCATTACGAATGCAGATATTTTCTGTCATTTAGGCCTACTTATGCATCCAAGTCGAGTGTTCCACAAGGACAGGAACTTATAATGAAATTTCATTATTGATGCATCGATTTATTAATATCACACATACATACCACAACTATTGCATGCATGTACCGTACATTGCCACACACACACTGCTGCATTCTTTAACACTAAATAATCTGCATAATCTTCCACCAACAGTTACAGTACTCTACAATTTCCACACATTTTGCATCGCCATATGTTTACATACATTAGCTATAAGCACCAGTGCAGTAGGTTTAAAAAGACTGCAACCAATGTGTGTCATGAATCAAGGAGATCTTCAAGTCACTGGTATTCCATCAAGCCAAGTGTTTTTTTGAAGTACATTAAAACGTCCATTTTACGAATAATCAATTTTACGAAAGGTCTTTGCTTCTGATGATGTCATCATCAACCAATTAATACCTTAAAAAGTCTGATTGCGCACGTTTTACAAAGTAATGATGTATATTTTCCTTAATAAAATCAAGTTTGCTGTATTCATTTCTTACTAGTTCAATCTTTTCTTCTATTTCTGCTATAATCACTATATTATGTAATAAACCTAACCAGAACAATGAACTACCAACGAAAGTGTACTTACTGTACAGCAAGGCGTTTGGAAAAGAAGTTCAATCCATTGGTCATGTTTACAACATGATAAAGACAGTGAAAGATTTCTTCCCTTTGCACTGCCAAATCGACCACCAGGGATCGCACAGCAGCTGCTGAGGGTCCCTACATATCATTTCATTTGTCCCTGGGGTTGAGTTATCTTGGCACCGCTCTCAACTCTCTTCTGTCACCTACTCTGCCCAGATTGACCACTCTACCGTTATTTCGGATATAATCCATCCATGATTATATTCTCCCTTTTTATTCTATAATGTAATCAAGCCACTAATTTGTCAATGCCTAGAATGTTCAATTTCCTGTATGGAAAATTAGAAGACTCAATCATTGGCATTTATTTTGTTACGATACAATTTGATTTTGTGGATATGCTTGAGGATGCTATAAATCCTGGGATTATGTCAACTGCGATTCTGTGCCTTAATTTATTGTTAGTGAAGATAGTACTTTGACAGTCAAATCTTGGTCTAGTGTTGCCGCTAAGGAGAGGAAGGTGGAGGCTGGGGCTCTAATCCTGCCATTTGGGGATGCATTAACTTGCCATTAGTGAAGTGAGGAGACACTTTTCGAAGGACAAACAACATCCAGGAATGACAAACACTAAATTTAGAAAAGGAAATTATAAATAAGTAGGGTGGGAAAAGGTTAATACGTTCATATGGAAAAGTATGTCAGATGAATACATAAAACACAACCTAATAAAACATTTTTAAATAGACATCTTCAAAATATCAATTTAGATACTGTTTTAATTCAATAACGACAATTTTTATTTAGTTTAATTAATTTAAGGAAACATCTAATAGCTTATTAATTAATTAGTTTATGTTCATTCAATTATCTACAACAGACAGTGCCTCCTTGCAACTCCTTAAGGGATCACGCTATGATAAAAAAAGCTTACAAATGAAATTACATAATTTAATTAGTCATTAGCCATTTCAATCTTGTCTCTGGGTGTTTCTACTAGTTAATAAACAGTTTACGTTAACGATTCCTCAAAACAACATTTACCTGTGGCAGTAGCTACCAGGGCCCATTACTAAAAATTGTTTTATCGAGGTAAAGAATCGTTCTTTGGCATGAAAACAATTCCATGTTCAGTGGTTTAAGAACAATATTTTGTAGTATAGTTTTTAGCTGTGTTTGTGTCCTTTTTACTTCTCACATAGAGAAAATCATTATCACAAATCTCTGAATGCTCATTTTAAACAAGCATAAACAAACAAAATCAAGCTGAAATTTCTACTGCTTGAATTTATATATTGGAGACCTTTTGGAGATCTTTATAGTAATTACCAGGGATAAGAAATCCATTTCGATCTCAATTTTCACACTGTCCATGATTCCTAGAAACCATATTTTAATGTTTCAACACTTTAAATATTTGAAGACAATCAATATTTTAAAAAAAAAATTTATATTCACATATAGTATGAAATTTTACCAGTTATAATATAACAAAGAACATTTATATTTTCTATTCAAAAACCATTAGCACTTTACTTCATATGGGTTGCATCATAATCATATTAAAAAGATGATTTCTGATGTTCTACTATGGAAATTGCCATGTTCAAGGAGAGGGCATAGACCACTAACTTATCCTGACGCTGATACTGGTAATAGACCAGAGGAGTTGGCGCTAGCAATGGCTGATTGAACGCTGTGGTGTGGTCGAGGGATGCTGATGATATTTGAAAGCTACTGTATGTCCCTGAATAGGCATTGGAATTGAATACGATGGTTTTGGAGGCATGGGTGCTGGCTTGGATTTTCTTTCTTTTTTTTTTTTCCAGTTACATCTGCTCACTTGAGACTGGTAAATGAATAACCTTTAACATTTTTACCCTTTATTTCAAACGATTTAAAAAAAACACCCCGATATATATTTCCTTCTAATTCAAAATGAATCTATAGGAATATTTATAAACTCCCTTATACTAAATGAGCCTCAACTTTATTAGCTATCCACCAATCAGAAGCAAAATTAACAACTTATTTAGTTTAACAAATGAATGAAAATGAAAATAGCTCTTAAGGCATTTTTGTATTGATTACATGAGACAGTCAACACAGATCCATGGGCTTGCTTTTGGGGGTTAGTCTTTAACCTCAGATGTAAAATAGAAATAAGAACTAAAGATAATCTAGTAAAATCCAATAGTTCCTAAAATTATTTTAATATAAACCCCTTAAATTAGCGGCCCTAAAAGTAGGCCAAAATGGCTTTAAAGTGGTTGCAACCACAAATATTATTTGAATCATGAGATTCTGGCTAAGAATTATACACCATCTCGTGTATGTCACCTTAGCTTTACTCAGTATAAAAATGAATAAATAAAAGAATGAATGAATGAATGTAATTTTTAAAAGCTTCATCAGCACATCAACATTAAATACTTGTGTTTAAAAGCTTGATATCTTTTTGGCAAAATTTGTCTAATGAAATTACAAAATATGATATACCTAGTATATTTTATCCTCTTAAATTATTTCCATATTTAAGGCTGTAACTATTAAAACTACAATATTTCAAAAATAAAACTGTCATTCTAAATTTCTATACGACTTGTGTGGCTTAGTACGCAACCTTGTGAGTGGTTAGATGATGACACTACTGCTAATGCTGCTATGCTACTAATTACTGATGTAATTAGTATGACCACGAAAAACAAAAATGTTTAATGATGCACAATCTACCATCCTTCTAGGATTACGGAAAAAAGTTGATGACATTCTATTAAGAATTTTGATGAGCATACTGTACATCTTGCAAGATTTCTGGAATTTCTAGATTTAGTTGTACAGTATGAGAAAAAATTGTGCATCATAATGCTCTCGTATATCCACCGAAGATTCTAGAAAATACTTTAGTATCTATTTTAAATTATTCAATATCAATTGATGTTTAGGAAAGTCAAATCGGTTAAAAAACAATTAAGTGAATTAGGGCTGACATAAGTTACGTGATGTGGGGTGCCAAGACATTCTCCTGAATGGCAGAAATGTTCTCTTCTTAATCACTTATTTGCCATTTAATTCATAACTTAAGAAAAATCCATGAACAAATCTATTTGTGAATTTATATATATATATATATATATATATATATATAGTTCCATCAATGAAATTAAGCCACTAACAATACAGACACTCACCAATACCAACCTACCCTAATTGAGTATTATTATATAAACTTGTTATCGAAGTTAAAACGACTAGCAGTTTTACTGTGCTGTATTGACCATAGGCATGGACAATTTTTCTTCTACCCTACGGTTCATGTCCCATTCTTTCAGTTGCTGTAGACTGGATGGAACATAAAACCTGGATAACCCCTGCTCTTCTTTCTCAAAGAATATGGTGGATTCACACAAGCCAGTTGTGTACACTGGGTCAATATTTTGAAGTTCATACCCGAGAAGTCTTTGGTCCCTGAATTACATTACGGCTGCAGGTAGTACCAAACTCAGAAGGAAATTTTGCTCAAAGGCTGAAAAGAAACATTAGTTTCTCGAACAATTTTTTTATCACTTTTGATCCAGAATTTAATTTTATAGAAAACATGAATGTACCTTTACTGTTGCCTCCATTTTCCCGTAGCACTGTACAGTCTTCTATTGTACCGAAGGGTGCAAACATTAATCGTATATCATTCTCATCATTCTTCTTTGCAATCATACCAATGAATATCTTTCGTTCTTCAGCTAAAAAGCAAAATATTGCATGTTATTACAGTGGTTCAGAAGAACAATTTCAATAGATTGCAATACAGTTATTATTACAAGTTATTAACTTTGCATATGATGAATGATATTGGCCTGGCGATTAGCATGGAAATAAAAAAAAACACAAGGCCATGGCAAGAAGAATACAAATCCTGATAACTAGAATGATTGATGATGCAGCAATTAACAAGTACATAATTGTATTTACTTGGGCTAAACTTAAGAAATTAATTAATTAAAACAGCTAGAAACCAATTCAACGCAAGCAACTATGTGCTTACATAAAACAGTATAATCTAGAAACACTAGTAGTAAGGTGTTGAAACATGGATCACTACATACAGTACTTCTATTTAGGAATACCATAAGTGAAAATGTAAAAAATAATTTCAATTCAGAAATAGAAGATAATTCCAATTCATAAGAGATTCAATGTGGTATTCAAGCATCAACCACAGGATGGAACAAATAGAGTATTCTAAATTATTATTAAAAAATGGCTTGTGATATTATTTTTAAGTTGACCTTTAACTAAACACCATTTATTAATGTTATTTAACTATCAAGACAAACTGACTAGTAAAAATACATATTTGGTGCTATTTTTAGGATTTTATTCTTGTTTACATCCCACAAATTTATAAACTTAGTAAAAAAAAACAACTAAACCCACCACATTTAACCAACAACAAAAACCCCTCGAAAAAGCCAGATTACTATATTAACTATACAGGCAAGTACATCATACAGTAGGTTTATATTCTACTTTTGTTGTGTTTGGCAAAGGCTCATTTCGTTGTGAAGAAATATTATAACAATGATTAATATCACATATTACATGTGAAACCATTAATACTTTTATCATAACACGGACAGCAACTGCTAAGAACCAGTTTTTAAAGGCTAAGTCTGTATTAGCTACACATAGTATCTACAAGTAGTCATACAGCCAACCCGCTATAGTATCATGAAGAAAACATAGTATTCCTCCAACCAACATCAAGTTAACATTGGCACACTACTCCTAGTTTAGATGGACCATATTTTGTACATGATTTATGTGCCAACATGAAAACTGTAATAGTATGGTGCAGACACAAGTGAAATGCAAAGTGAGGGATTGAAACCCCTGCCATTATAGGTTTGAAAACAATTTTTTCCACTGCACTGGAAATTAATTCCAAAAACTTAGCACACCAATGATATTTCAAATGGGACCTACAGTACCTTTATCATCTTTTAGAAATATTCCTTTAAATTTTCAATTCAATCGATAAATACTACATAGAAAAATGTTGTAATCATGAAGCTTGGGTAATAATGAATAAATAAAACCAGCACATTTAGATTAATGCCAGATAACACTGTGCTACATTTTTACCTTCCTTGCCACTATGCATCTTTATCTCAACTATGATTAAATGCAAATGTGTTAATTCTCGAGTGGGATTTTGACAGCAATTACTCTGCCCCTTCATACAAGTCCATTATAATCCAAATAAATTGTGCTTTTTGTGATATCTCCTCCCCTAAGGAATGATGAAAAATTTTTAAACTAGGGAAATCCTTGTAACATGACAATAATTCATGAATGTTTCTTATGCCTAGATCAAAATGTACTAATTTTAAAATTCAAATTATCAAGATTATCAGGCACAGCACCTGTATAAAATTTTGGGGAAATTATATAGAAAATGTTTTCGGACTGTAGTCTGGGGCTAAGAACCTGGGATATAAGACCACCCCCTAAATATTTTCAAAAAATGGGAATGGGAACCATGGACAAGACAGAACCGGGGCAGGAATACGCGTGTCCTACGAATACATGTCTGTCCCGCAAACGCACAGGTTTGCATGTTTTTACACAGCTACTTTATGGGATAGTTGCAATTAGTGGAAAGGTCCAACTATTAATAATCCCAACATATAATTGGTAATATTTTTTTTAAGATCAGGAGTGGAGTAAGTTTTTCTGGACCCCATTGGAAATAAGTCTGGTGTACAATCACTAGACTTAATGGGTCATCCAGGCATTCAATTAATTATTCATCTCCTTTTTTTATGTTCGTTCTCAAAATGTTATTGTTATATGTGTGATATTGAATGCAAAATAAATCAAATCAAATCAAATAACTGTACAGTAGCTTAACGACACTGTAAGTATGCCAATTGGTAGGAAGACGAGACAACGTGCATCTTTCTAATGATTCCCTTGAAGGATGTGCCACACTGACCTCTGCTGAATGCCACCAAGACAGCAAGCATCAGTGGAATTAAACACCAAATGAACACTACCAAACAAATTTTCATGTCATGACAATATTGGTTTGTATCTAATCAGAATCTAATACTACAAAAATCTCTCTATGAAACCAATTTCCTCTCACAAAACTGAATCGCTTAAGGCAGAGAATGCAAAACAATAGATGAGAAAAAAAATTTTAAATGCCAAGAGTAAATAAGTATAGTAGTCAATAAGGTTTAGTCTACTAAACATTGAAATAAGAATGAATTTGAGATGCCAATCTTTCTTCAAAGATTACGAGCTCAAGGAAGGAAGCATGCTACCTTGTGGGATTACAGTTTCATGGTTATAGTTAAATTATTAATCATTAACATCAGTATGTTGTTAGATAAACAGTGCCCTCACACTGAACAATCAATATCGAGAAAGCTATATTAGGCCTACATTTTTCCTGACATGCAACAGTATATATTGTAGCACAAAACATGGCTTGGGGTGAAGCAGTGAATTCTAATTCCCGAGGTGTTTGATGATTGGCACTACTTCCTAACACAAAGCGGAGGGAGGATAACAACGGGAAAGTATAATTCACTGCTTTACCGAAATAAAACCATGTTGTGTCCTATTAGTACCTCAAGAATATTAAACAGAAAACCACCAGTCTGCATTTGTCATTTCAATCCGCGAGGGTAAAATTACACAGATTGCGTACAGATCGCGTAGGCAGGAGTGCGGTAGTTGATTTTGGGTAGCACTTTTTTGCCTGCATACGTGTAAATTTGTCACGCGCGGGAAGTGCAGTACTGTAGTACTACCACACACTGTACTGGGTGAAATTGACCGAGATGTTGTTATAAATTAACCTAATTATTGGTATATGAATATTTTCTCCTATATCTGTTGGCCAGGCTTTTCCGACTGTTACTTCTTAGCAATGGAACCGGACTATCCTACCCTTTATACCATGAAATTCCACTACCCTTCCTAAATTTAAAATCATAACATTTTTCCAATTCTCATATTACATTCTCATGCTTTAAAAAAATTGTCAGTGTCATACATCCTTAAGTAAAAGGGGACATCATTGTAATTATAATCAAATTTTTTCAACGCAATGCAATACATTATGTTGTTTTTAAAGTTATGCTTCAAATCCTCTTTGTTTTAATTACAATGTATTGCAATTGTTCACTTCATTTGTAAAGATTGCATGAGAGCAAACACTACACTGAAGATGGCAGATGTACTGCTGAAAATGTTTCAACAGTATAGTATACAATATAGTCAGCTGGGCCTAGCTTACATGGTTCTGAGAGCTTAAAAACTGTTGTGTTGTTTTTAAGATGTATTTACAATCTGCTACATAAATTACACAAATTATGTAAACACTATAATTATAATAATGATGATGGTTATGCATCATCATCCTGGTTCAAATTTTCCGATTGCGTTGCAGACGCAGACGAATCAGGGTGCATTGCTAGCTGCCCTGAGCAATCGGGAAGGCACCCCAATTCGTCTGTGAACCACACCTGTCAGCGAATGTCGCTGATAAGGTAAGCAATTCTATGGAAACCGAGCAAAAACTTTGGATCCCCGTCTGAGAGGTCCCTATTCTCAAAATTTTCTATTCTCTCAGTCCCAACAACGGTAGGACAGTGAGGTGGACCATCACACACCCCCTACCGCCAAATCTTGCATCCGCCCCAGGTATAAATAGTAAAGAGATGTAATATTCAATTGCATTTGAACAGAAGTACATGTACAGTAACCTTTGACAATTATATCGTGCAACACGTGCTCTATCCAATAAATGTATGGATTTATTTATTTTGAATACTTACCACTTCTTGTTTCACTATCTGCCGGTTTCATTTGCACAGGATGCTTCATCTAAATGGAAGAAACAAGTAAAACAATTTAATGAATATGTTAAAATGCAAAAGCTGTTAACAAAGGGCTTATTCTCAAGATTAAGCCCATTGGGTTTCTGTTCGAGGTTTTATGGTATAGGAATTATAACTAATAATTTTTTTTTAAAGATGTACTATATATCATAAGCAAAAAAAAATTTATGAAAATTAAATTCCTTATGCCATTTGCATAATTTATCCAATAACCTCCAGTAAAAATTTGAATGAGAAAAATCAACAGATAGTTAAATAATACATTTCCTATTTTTCATAGATTCTTAAATTGGCTGGTGTCATAAATCCCTACTTGATGTATTTCCGAGCGGTATAGAAATGACTAGGAATCCCGCTTTGACATATAAAATATAAACACAGCTCACAATGTTGTAACACAACTCTCAAATAAACTTTTATTCTGTATAAACTCCAACTAGAATCCGGTATCAAAATAACACAACATTCACATAAACATGTGTTTCAAAAAGGAGCTCCCGAAAGATAAAACTATCAATTTATATAACCTAGCTGTACAACTCCAGAGCATTCAAGAGCATTCTATATTGCCTAGGTTCCTCATTGGTTAGCTTACATCATAATTAACCAATAGGCTTATTTCCGCTACAGTACCCAAGATTCCAGAAGCTTCTAAATATTACTCTTGGATTCTACATGGTGTCATGTGTTCCTATAATTACCAATGTGGTTTACACTTGTTTATTTGGTGAATTAAATACAATTCTAGAATGTTCTATGTAATAAATATATTACACTAAGGAAAGGAATGGTAATTTATTACAGCTGGTAATCAATTTAAAGATTGTTGCAGCACATTGTCTGCAAATCAGTAAACTATTTTTATAATGTTTCTAGTTTTTTTTTCCATAGTTTTTTTTCCCAAAATTATTTTATTTGCATAATTTGTTCTATAACTTATTAACCTCCGGTAAGAATATGAATGTGAAAAATCAACAGACAGTTACATAATACATTTCCTATTTTTCATAGACACTTGAATTGTCTGGTAATCAATTTAAAGATTGTTGCAGCACATTGTCTGCTAATCAGTAAACTATTTTTATAATGTTTTTAGTTTGAAGTTGATTTATTTGATACTTTAAAATGAGACATTCAAATTTAAATTAAACTTTTCAGACCGTTTTTCTACTTTTGGAGGATTGTACATCGCAGAACCAGTAAAAGAAATAGTTTGTACTATTGATTGATAACATCATATCTGCATCTGCATCAGCTTCCCATCAGCTTATAAACTCAAAAGTTAAGGAAGCTTTGCATATTACCTGGAACAATCCATCCCTTAATAAGCAAATTTACAACTTGAATATCACGCTCGCTGTTTGATTCTTGTGTACTAATTTACATAACAATCCGCAGTGAAGGGTGGTGTCTACGTTTTGTGGTTTGCTTCATTAGTCGCTTTTCTAATTTGCTTATTTACATACATGTGTATAAAGCCATATAAGCTTTGGCAAAATTTGTCATCTTTTGCACTGATGATGAGAATCGTTTTCTCGAAACATGTTTACTATACGATCGGACTCAATGAGTCCGCGATCACGATTAAAGTCTATTACTTGCTTTATAAAGTGCCTTGTGGTGTTTTTACTTATATCTGCATCTGTAATTTTCTCCTGCTTATTCATTTTAGGAGATTGAATAACACCAATGAAACCGATATCCAAAGGTCCGATATGTGTTGCTTTTAATTTGAACCTAATCAAGAGATTTAGAGGAGCATAGTTGATTAATGGACGCTAATATATGCCGATTAAAATGTTGGCAAATATGAGGAGGGTGGAAATGGAGAGTTAGTTTCCATGGTGACATATTGATTTTCGTTGAAGTAATAAGCGACTTGGTGATATTTACTGAAATGATATCTGCCAGATTCACTCAAACAAAAATGCAAATGAGGTATTATAAAATTTACATGAGTAATCAGATAATCATACAATAGTAATAATATTAATGGCTTTAAAATGGTAGTTACATTATCTTTCTCCATTGACCTTTTCTTTCTATAATGTTTTAAGCAGTTATATTTATTTTAAAAAGATAATCATTCCAGAATAAGCATTGCATTTGATTACATCTCAATGAGACAATTCAACACACTTGGGTGGTGACAACTTTCGACAAAAATCCTGTTGAACATAATGGACAACTTAGTGTGGGTGTTTGAGTGAGCTATTGTCATTTTTCATACTTAACATCAGTTATTCAGTAAAATCAATCCAAATTCTAAGAGAAGACAAACCATGTTTATTGTTGTGAATGATTTTTGCAGGGGCATTTATTAAAGTGAAGCATTTATTTTTTTTGTCTTTTGGTGTAAAATGGAAACGCTAAAATCCCTTCATTTCACTGAAAAAGTGGAACTACAACAGATAATTACTGTTAAAATGTGTTATTGTGTGATCATGAACATGTTAGGATCCAAACATGTTAGAAAAACATAATAGAATGTGTTGAGAATGATGTTGCTTCCATTAGTTTTGTTTAGTCATTTGGGAAGGGGGGGAGAGTTTATTTTAAAAAAAAATAAATGCCCTAGGGCGTTTATTTGACGAAGGCGCGTATTCCAAATGAGGCTCTTGAGGGGGCATCTTTTCAAGGGGGTATATATTCAAATCGGGACGTTTATTTGATTAAGTACGGTAATACTCAATCTCAAGCCATATAAAAAAGTAGAAACTAGACTTATAAACCACTGCATTCACATGCTTTGTAAGTCAAAAAGAGGCAGCAGATAAAGATCAATCTTTCATTATAAGGAGATCACTAGAAAGTCAAAACCTGCTATATTTACGTCAGCAATTGAGTTTGCATGAACAAACGGCAGGAAGGCTCTTTTTTTTTATGGCACCTAGGCACCAAGTTCTAGTGGGTCAAGCTTGCTAGTGATAAGGTTCGCTATTCATAAGGTTTTCATAAGATTTGCTAGTTATAACACAGGTACCAGTATTAGCTAAACCCTATACAGATACCACAGATTCACTGGTTATAATCAAGAAAAGCATTTGCTTTCAGAAAAGGACCACAATTCATAAGTCTCAATAACTATCATAATGGAAAAAAAAAAGTTTCACTAGATAATCATAGGTTCTCCAGTCAAATTAATAAAAAGATTCGCTTGTCATAATGTAAATAAAACGAGCGCTATTTGTAAGTTTTGCTGTTCATAATAAAAATTAGGTTTGCACATCATAATTAACTTTTTTATTTTTTTTATTTATGACTAGCGAACATTTACCTTGATTATGATTAGTGAACACTGTTTTACCAAGACTGGTGAACTAGTTTTTGTTACATATACAGAACATTTTGAATAGTGCACCTCCATTCAAATTATGACTTAGTGAACCTTATAAATAATGGTCCTTATGGCAAACGAACCTTGACTAGCGGGTGGACCCCATTTTATCAATACTCCAAATCAAAGGTCATAATTTTGGCAGAATATTAACTTGCACCTTCTACTGTATGTTTTACTAATGCCTAGTTCATAATAGAAACTTTCTAATAATGATCAGGAGCTGTTAGGCGTACATGCGAGAACACCCATCGGTTAGCACGATCAGGATTGTTTATCAACCTCTTTCGTAAAACAACCAGAGGCAAGCATTTCTAAGGTGGTCAGGTGAATTTACCTGAAGTACTTGAAATTTTCCAGTTATTATATCATTTCCACAGACTACTAAAGCCTACTTAATTTCATCCAACCAACTTCTGTTATTTGTACTCAAAACACGGGCATGGATTAATAAATTACACATTTTAATATTTTTTAATGAATATTCAGTCCTGTTTTTACCAATTTTAAATAATTTTATTGATTTAGTAACACTCAGTTATATCCCATTGCTGAAATTATGATTCTCAAAGTGCTTTCAACTTGATTTATGATGACGTCGAAAGTGCATCTCTCCATCCAGGTTTAGTAAAAGGCCATTGTTAATGCATAATACTGTATTAGAACGATACCTATATAAAATCTTTCCTGTCCTTGTATTCAATATAAAACGTCTCAAGTTGACAAAGAATTAGACATACAGTAACATCTCCCAATTTATCAACTTTTTGTTTTTCGTTTTCAACTCAGATACATTCTAATAGGGATTCAGCAATGTTTGTTTACAGCTGGTCACATGACTTAACCTGGGTATACATGAAAACATTACAGTGCGATAGTATAGAAAAAGATAATGTAATGGTTGCGAAAAAACAACCATCCACTGTTAAGGTGAGAAATAAATATCTAGGAAGGCAATACGATTGTTCAAAATAGTGCTTATTTACTTATCCTAGCGTTCTCCAAGGATTGTATGCTTTAAAATTTAAGTGAGACTTCGTAAACCTTAGCTAGAGATAACATCCCAGCGTAGTTCGTGGGTCGAAAACCATCATGCATAACTAACCATGCCGTAGATGTGTAGGGGTCTAGGCCAAACATTTGTCAAAAAATCTCAATGTTTGCGGCCAGTATCCTTTACAGCATTAGCAAATCATTAAGGCAAAATTCTCAAGTTTAATTTCCAATCAATTTGGTATAGTATACTAGGAATTATGATGATCTTTACAGCAATAAACAATAGCAATCTTTATGTAAAACACCGCTGTGCCACTCGATTGTTTATATCCAACACCCAAGTTACTGTAGGTCACGTGACACCCATCGCCGAATCCTTCTAATAGAACCATACATTCTTGTTACTGGGTAGCAGGTTGTTAGAAGAATGGTGCTATTTGCATACACATATTTTTAGCCATCATCCTATCCTATTACATTTAGATATGTTGTGAATATTCACTAATTAAAGGATACATAGATTTTATGTAATTTATGTATGTTGAGGGTCTCCAAAAGATCAGCTTCTGCTGGATGGTCCATATTCATTAAATATTATTGAAATAAATAAATAAAATAATTAAGATTGAAAGACAACAAATTGCAAATCACCATATTACTACTGCTCCTCTATATCAAATACGTATTCTGTTGTGTTGATACTAATTATTACAATGATATGAGTTGGATTATTATAAAAGCAAAAACATATTGAATATTTAATGGCTATCTTGTGACACTGCTAAACATATTTTCCATACTTGGTGTATTCTGAACTTGCTCTTAAAAAGGAAACTTTGAATAAGAGATTGAATCCATTAGCATAATTCTTATTAAGTCTTTATCGCAAGTTTTAAAAAAATCTCGGACATAGTCTTAGTATGTATTAGAGTGCAATCTGTCCTACATTGTAGCTTGCTTTACTAATTTCTTTCCTCTAACCAAAAGCATTAGATTTGTTTCAATGCATTTTTCCTGTTCGCTTCAATGAATTTATTTCTACCGCTAATCTAGAAACTAGTACACAGAAAGACTCAAAAACATTTCATTTTTAATATCTGTAATTGGTAAAAAAAAACACCATTGGCTTTAACTTAACAATATGTATTTAGTAACCTTCACAATATATGTTCAATCAGAAAAAAAAAACCAGTACGAATAGCTTTTAATATTTATAGTAATGGATGAAAACATCATATTCATAAGCAAAAGACAAAAACAATCTTTTGCAACATAGAAAAGACCTTCACACTGAAAATATGGAATAAAATTTACTTCATTTATACCATGTATCCATATACTTACACCAGGAAGTGTTTTCTTATTGTGAAGATTTTCTTTTGCCATTACAGCATCTTTCCTAAGATAAAATGTAACAAAACAACAACCTGCAAAATAAAATAAAAAATTATTACTAAGTAAATCATACTTAATTCATAAAGTTCAAAATGGAAAGTTATTCTTGCAAAAGTAGCTGAGGCAGTGCAAAATACATTTGTATTTTTTTTAATAACATTTTTTGCAGGATAACAACAAATTCAAGAGCTTACACTGTATATTATTAATACATTCTCCACAAACACACACAAAAAAATTATTATTATTAATGCAAAGATGCAAGAATTAACACAATCATAGAGTCTTACTGTATTCATTTTTTTTATAATTCATTCTGATCTTAAACCCCTTTTACACTTTCAGCGGGACTCCAGTGTAGACCAGCCGTTACCCCGCCATTGCCAACACACCAGGCTTAAAACATAGAGTTGTAGTTAGTGTTTAGCCATGAAAAAAAATGTTCTCCTGCAAGGCTTCTCCGGGATAGCCGAGTCAACACCAGACACCCAGTTACAAGATGGATGTCTGTTTTTAGCCATGAAAAAAAAAATATATAAAACCCCGACCAAGAAAAACACATAAAACTACATATATATAAGGGATTAAACATTCTCTGGGTTATGGCCTTCGATAAATGCTCCTAGTTTTTTTTACCTGGACATCTTTAAGGGGCTGCAAATTGAATTCATTGAATTTTAATCATTTACCGTAAACTGGAAAATGATCAGTGTAATGAGTGAATAATCAATTTAAATTTTCTCATTGGGACACCTAATCTTAACTACCGTACCAAGCTAAAATACTGGAAGGTAGAGTTTGTGTTTCTCAAATTATTAATTTGATAACAACCAACTATCAATTCTCAGTTTGATACATGATAAATTTTTAAAGGTCATCCAATATTTTCAAGTCATCTTGCTAGGCCCGTTACTAAATAAAACTGAACTGTGAATTAAGTGATTGCAAAAACTGAATCATTACATACTGTAAGGTGTTTCTACGACAAACAGTACTGCGCACAAAACTTTCAAGACTAGTACTTTTAAGTGAATTCAAAAATATTAAATTATAGAAAACTAAAGCAAAACTGAAAAATAAATCAATCACTTTCATCATCAGATAATATGAATTACCGTAGATAATTGAATTGGCAATCTATCTTCTTTGGTAATTTTAATTCCACTTAAACTATTATTAAATCATTTCTCAATTGAATTTTCTGCATCTTCATCCCTTTAAACATTTTTCGTATTTTCATTCTGCTTATGTTTCATTTTGCAATCCGATTATATAAATGGGACAATGGTTGCCATAGTAATATCTCTATTACTATGACATTCTCATTTGTGGTTATATATTCAAATAAAACTACTCTTCACTTGCAATAATTATTTTCTTACTTTTCCCAAAACCATTGAATTGCTTCTATGAGTATCCGTGGAAACGGTGTCTGAAACATAATCAATCTTTCATGCTTGATATCTAAACCACTCATTATCCCGACTGAGGAATTAAATAAGAAAATTTTTACACTTCACAAAATTGACAAAACTGGTAAAAACGGCAGTACAATACTTTCTGCTAGGAATCCATTTCAGAAAGTGGGAGTTTAATGCTACAGAATGTTATTATAGGGAAATTAAGTTTCAATATATTTTACTATATTTATATGTCTTTTCCACTTGGCTTTAGAGTAATAATTTCTCATCCAAAACATTTATAGTTTTTAGCAACATACTTTGTATGAAATCATTAACAGAGCACTTAAGATGGCGTTTCCAAGGATTAGGAAACAACTCGTATTGCCACTGAAAAAGCCTTATGGGCAGTGAACTTTAGAGAATGTAGTCCTGGCTGTAAAACGTTTCTCTCCAAAGGACTTTCTTTAAACTAATGTCAGAGGACAACATAAATAGCCTGAAGGAAACCTCATGAAGTGATCAAAGGTCATACTATCATTACTGTACACTACATTTGATACCATAGAATAATGAGTTATAGGCTACTTCAGGATTGCAGAAAGTGTCCCCTTAATTATAGGGGTTGGCCGTAAATATATTTCCTTCACTTCACAGCCCTTTAATAGGGGTCTAAGGGCCCGTTTGAGTAAAAAATGCCAACCGTATACCGTTTATTTCACCGGGTAATTGCGCTGAGCACTCAGTGGGTGGTTGACTGTGCAAGCAAGTTTTAGCTCACAGTAAATACGTGTAACAAAACTATTCCGGAAGTAAATTTCAACTTATCCCATGGTCAACAACCCATTTGTTTACTTGATACTGCTGCTATAACCAAGGAGGTATACCTCCTTGCTATAACCGGCCCACGTACAAACAGCACAGCATGGTGGAACGATAATGTAGCTCAATAACTTATAATGGCTGCTTTAAAATCTGTACGTAGGCTAGTTTATTCAAGTTTATTTCTCCGAATAATGGTAAATCTACAAATCGATCGCATAGCTATGCTACTAAATTTAGATTTCGTTGTGTATGTGTAAGGAGGCGAAGGAGAGCTGCAACCACGCCTGGGCCGTAACCTATTGAATATCGTGCTGGGTTAAAATAAAATGAAATAACCTTTATAAATATAATAAATGAAATGCAGAAAAAAATGTTGCTCTTTGCAATTGGAAATGGCCCCGGAGCAGCTCTGAGATGGATACGTGCCCCTTACAAGATGCCATTATTATTACTACTACTATTATTTATTATTTATTATTATTATTAAATAGGTACCAAATTACTTGTTGGCTATTGGGGTTAACAAAGGCGTAGTAATTTAACAACCTTTGCATCTCAAGCCGTGTTACTAAATACTGTATTGCGTGAGTATTACAGTACCTGCTCAGAACCAACTATTTACCGCAATATTGGGGTTACGCGGTGTTCCATCACAGAACTAGTGATATTACTGCAATATTACAGTCTGAAAACAGATGGTATATTTACAGTCTAAAGATGGCAATCAGTGGACCTTTCGGTTTCAGGATAATTCAATTCAATATCTTTTATTTTATAATTACTGAAACATACATCAGAATTCACATTTTTTTTATTATGTGGAAAAGGGTATCCCACCAAAAACATTGCTCTACATGCAGGACCCTTTAAAAAATAAACATTTAAAACAAAACGACAAAATAGGAAAATGATAAATGAGCTAGTCTAATGTTTTATAATAGGATCAGCATTTTTTGTGAGGTGCGAGTAGATCCGTACTGTATTAACTACACAATAATACAATATTTTCTTTATTTATTATGTTACTGGGGTTAGGACTACAGCTTAACATGTGATTAGCATTGACTTGGTGTGATCAGTGACACCAAAGCCCTTTAGAAATTAATTGTTTGTGTCCTGGAATTAAGGACTTGTCTGAAAGGACAAGACTAAGTCTAGATTACAAGTTCAACCGTTTAAAAAATATTATCCTACTACAAGCATGAATTAACATTCATTGTTCAAAGAAAATTCAGCAAAGCACTAGCCTATGTATATCTTATGGATCAACAATGCATCAACCTATGCGGTCCACAGTGTCGGTATCTTATCATTTGGCATCAGGGGTCACAGTTAAGACCAGGTCAAGCTAGAATGACACAAAAGTAGTTTTGAATGCATGTCCAATATTCATGGTATCTGAAATTAGCTAGACACAGTATTTGAGAATCGTAGTATAGAGCTGAACATTAGGAAACTATTGGTTCTCCACACAGAATTCATTTTGTAACTTACCACGCACAAGGGACATGCTCGGTACAATACGGTCACACAAACATTCTAATTACAATGTTAATGTTTCCACCTCCAGTCTAGAAACTGAGGCTACGATTTATTACAGAATAGAAGTTTGGACTCAGAAATGCTCATATTTTGATTTTCTACTAATGTGATATTTTGTTTTTTATATAATGAAATGTAAAAAAGTGGACGTTATATAGTATAACTTTTCCAGTTAACACACACAAGATATTCTTATTTTGGTTTTGTGGTTTTTAGGTGTGCCAGGAATGTGAATTACAACCATTTATATAAAAAGTGAATATTTTTGTGAATACCAAATATAATGAGAGAGATTGTTAAGCTTATTCACAGACATAGATGGGTGTGTGGTTTATTATACAGGCCCGTAGCCAGGTTCTTCCAAGGGGAGGGGGGTTTTCTGGGCGTTAGGTCCACAGTTGAAGCCCCAGTGTGGTTGGCGAAACCTCCAAAGCAAGAGGATTTTTGTGCCTTATGGGTCTAAATAATGCTATAAAAGCAGATATGTTTGAAAATGTCTGTGTCTGGGTGGGTCTGCATGCAGTACATTAGTTGGGTTGGAGGAATTATTAGGGAAATTTAAAGAGGGGGTGCCAGAAAAGAGGGGGTTTGCTAGAAAAGGGCAGTTCTCTCCCCCCTCCCGATACAGGCCTGTTGTACCAGTTGACTATTTCTACTAACATTAAACCAACCAGAAAATTGTTATACACATACTACGATGGTACAGGTATACTTAAATATTTGACCTGCCAACTATCAAAGCCAACTGTATTTTTCTTTCAAAAATGAATAATGTTCATTCTACTTGGTTTTAATAGAAGCAATCTCAAGAATACGATACAATTTCTACACATCATTATGCTGCACTAAAAAAAATGAATTATCCAAAATGTCAAAACATTGCATGTATCTATTATGTATTATTCCTCTCTCATAACATATGAAAAGAAAATGTCATTGTTGATGCAGAAGAGTAATTTTAAAAATAAAAATATATGAATTGACAGTAGATACTTGAGCTGTGGTATTGATCATAATATTATACTGTATTGAAAGCATGGGGTGAAGTTGCTAGGCTTTGGGATTGCAAATCAAAAGATCAAGGGTTCAAGTGTATTTCTGGTTGCTTACTAATGTGTCTTTGGGCAAGCCCCACTATACACAAGTTTAAGTAGGTACCTGGTAGGTTTGCATGTCAATACACTCATTCTAGCTGTAATATTATGGAAAACTCCCTCAGGGAACCGAGTTTGTGTTCATAGGTATTTGATCCAATGACCAGAATAATAACGCAAATGCACATCACAAGCCAACGCTATTTAAGACTAATATAATACAGTATATGATATGGGACAATATAACATTATATTACGGTGGATCTTCACACAGTATACTTAATAGCTATAAAGAGATTGGTTCATCATTTCATTTAAATAGCCTGTGTTGCAGGGATTTCATCATCATAATAATAATAATAATTTATTTGGATATATGCACTTTTGAATCAGTGGCACAAGGGTGGTGCATCCTAACAACAAGAAAAATATAAAAATTACATTTAAAAAGAAAGACATCAAAACAACAAGATAATCAAATTAGCTAAAACTAATAGAATATTCTGCATTATTAATCTTAAGCCAATAATGTGTGTTGAATATAGGTATTTAGCACAAACATACAGTTCCCTATTCTTAGTTGTTTATGAAATTTTTGAAATATTTATTCTGTAAATTGCCTTTGAACTTAATATTTCTGATTCTTGCCCTTACCAAAATTATTGTGTGACCTTTCGATTGTGATTTTGTTTTCCCTCCTCTTACTATACCTGTTTCTTTCCTATTGAAATTTATTTTTCATTCTTCTTCTTAATTATTGTGAATTCTTTAGTTTGGATTGCAAAGCCTGTGGGTTATAGTAATTTGGCTCCCTTTTTACTTCCTTACCAGCTTTTGAACTGTTTTTAGTGTATATTTAAATTTGTATGGCTGAATAAAAGGAATGAATAAATATAATTATGAATATTACTATCATCAAATTAACCAATTTTAAAATATTAACATCTATCACATTCATTAATATTAAAAGTAGAGAAATTTTCATCTCTGTGTACTTTGCTCACAATATCAGTACATTACATCGTCACAAAGGAATCCTGTTATAGTCTCTGTGAAATACCTTGCTAACAATGTAACTTTCAAAGCTCATTTTGCAATTTATGTGCTCCTCCCGGTAATGGCAAATTTCCTCTATTTCCAGTGAATGTGTAATTTTTATACAACAAATAATGATTTCTTAAGTAATGTGTATTTCAAACCATTTTAGATATGCGTTTTCTCTATTTTGTAAGCACATCACTATTAGTGAGATGTTCAGAAATTAGAGCTATGAAAACCATTGAACACTTTAGCAATTAGGCCAAAGAACAAAATCAAGGAATGAAAGATGATGCCATGAATGATGATGGCCCAAGACCAGTAGCCATTTTTGCCAACTCAGTCTTTTAAACAAGGCTTGGTATGCCTGCTATTTTCAGCATAGTTTAGGAATCAAAAACGAGACTAGAGAAGCTAGGAATGCTATGGCTAGAAAATTAGAATTATCGCCTAGAGCCAGCGAAGCAAAGAATGCTACTGTAGGGCTCGGAAATCAGAAACATCACCTGGATGCAGGGGAACCTAGAATACACAGGTAAGGAGGTTGGACACATTTCCTAGAGCCAAAGAAGGCAGGAATGCTGGGGCAAGGAAACCAAAAATGCTTAGCCAATGGAAAATTCAAGTAAGCAATGATTTAATTAGGATAAGTAATTGAAAATATTTGCAACAGGGCTAGGAAACTCAGGATGGTTAGAGCAAGGTTAGCCAAATATGCTGGGACAAAATTAGCCGAGCATTCTAGACCAGGTTAGCCAAGCTTCCTGGGTCTGAAGAAAGGGCATATGTTACTGAAGTGTTGACCTTTGACTATAAAATAAAGTAAACAAGCCAGAATTGCTGAATAATGCTTTCAATTTGTCAGATTAACACTAAATTGCCATTTGAATGACCTAATGTAATTAGGAAACAATGTCATTGTTAAAAACAAATAACAAATGTAAATAAGAAAGAGAAAACATTGGTAAAGAGAGTATAATATACATGTCCATTTAAAAGAATAAGGGTTCCAAACTGAAGATACCTACTTGTTTACTTTTTGAATCTTAGGCAAAGTAATTTTCTTTAATTAATCAATTGGTCAAACATTTGCGGATAAATGTCATACATGAGAATCAAATTTAATTTCTTAGGTTAGCCAAATCATTTGTTGGATCATTGCCAAAATTTTAGATAAATTTATAACAATATTAAAGGTTTAAAATTATAAATATACTACAATAAAAAGCTTTTAAGGACATGCAATATTTAATATATAGAATATTAAAAATATTACTACAAAGTTTATGAAGCTGGCATTGACTGCCAGTGAAAGCTTATGTCAAATAAAATTACATGGTGTTGCTGCCTCATCATCAAGTTTATGTGAAGGAAAGCAAGTGCTTCCTTAAAATTGTTGTTTACATTTTTAAGATTTAAAACATTTTCAGCTAATTATCAGCTTCAACCAGTTTCCAATCTGTTCCACTACTGTAATGTGTAGCTCTAGCCATTTTAATGAAAAATCGGTTTACCAACATCAGTCGCGTTGCTCTACTGTGGCGAGTTGGATGGCTGAGTGGTTAAGGCAGGGGTGTCACAAGCTACAGCCACGCTCACCTATGGTTCTGGTGGTGGAACAAGTCTTCTTGGATAAGGACTATAAACCATAGGCCCAGTGTGCACAATTAAAATTATTGGTCCAAAATCACATTTTTTTTTTGTCTTGGGAGTTCATGAAGCATTAGATATCAATAGTTGTTTGTGGATAATTTAAAAATAAGTCGATATCAATTTCACATTAAAATATTAATTTCTTACCACCTTATAAATTTTGCTTTTTCTTATAGTGTTCAGTTATAAATCTATAATCTCTGTGCTAATACAATATTAAATTTATTTAATTACACATTTATTTTTTAATTCATGATCAATTAATTTTAATGAATTTAGTGCACTGTCAATGGTGAATTTCACAAAAAAACATTTGTCATAATGTAACCTCGTCTATGTGCCTCTTTCCAGGTAAAAATAGTGAATAGAGAAAGTGCTGGAGAAAAAAAAAATTCCTGCATCAAGAGCTTCCAAGTAACTAACATTACAACCGAGAGAATAGCTTTTACAGTGATCAATAAAATTAGTTTATGCTTGTTAACCATGGCTTATTATCCTAGCTAAGCATAAGGCTGCTTCAATACAATTAAAAATAAGTTTACTCAGGCTGAAATTATTCAACTTTGGATATAAACACACCAGGCTTTATCCAAATAAACCAACCCAAGTACATTAAACAATTATAAAATTAGAAAGAATAACAGCTTTCACACAACACCTATCTACATTATCGTAATCAGATAATTGTAATAAAGTAAATTTAAGCACTTATAGACTAAAATATACCTCTAAAAATCAATTAAATAGTTTGAAATATATATCACATTTTCTTACTTTAAATCAAGTAAGTTCCCTTTTTTAGCAATCACATTAAATACCTATTAATCATACATATTGTAGAATAAAAAAGCTCATGTGCGACTTCTAGGGACAGGTACTTTTTACACGATGCCCAATCTTTGTGATGCTTTATTTTTAGAATTATCCTGTATCATAATTACTCAGGAAAGCCCTTATAATTTATGTCAGCTTTAATAAAATTAATATTTACTTGGTTTTTAATATGAAAAAAGAAATTGTGTCTGGAAAAAAGATTTTTGCAAACAACAAGCCAAGTTGCTCTGGCTGGATGTCCCGAGAGGAAAGTGCAAGATGTTGGTGGCGTTATTTTAAAATATACCCAATAAAATGGTGTATACAAACAAAACAAAGAGCCTGGCAGTTTACCTTTGCTTTCATTTGTGTCTTTATCCTTGAGGACTTTTAACTGGTATATTGGACCACCGTAAGTTTCTAACATTTCTCGTAATTCTGTTTCGGGCATATCTTTCGGGATCTGTCCTACAAACATTTTGACAGAGTCTGGTTCAGGTTGCGGTGACTGTGGATGCCCGTGCATCGGGTCGACTAGAACCCCTTGGTCCATCATTGTATGACTGTTATACATATATATCTGAAAATTCAAAGGAAATATGCAAAATATTTTACAAAATCATAAATGAAATAAAAATTAAAAAAATGATACTACATGCACTGTACATAAACAAATTTTGAAAGTAAAAATGAGTGGTATTCCCATAGAGTTTACAGCATTTGTATCTTTTGGAACACCATCACTAGCAGGCAAAAAGCAAGCCTACTTCTTGCATAGTGACACCATCGCTAGCTAAGCACTAGATATACAGAAACTTGGCTAAATATAATCAATATTCCTTGCTTTAAACAAGTTTTAAAACTCAAATTATCGATTTATACATTTTCTATTTTTCTTAATTTAACAGCTTGCATTATTTTCAAAGATTAAAAAAAAAATTTAAAAAAAATTACTGTATTGGTAGACCATACAGTTTATGATATATCAACACAAATTGCATTCTTAATATGTGGCAAAAACAAGGCAAACCTATCACTCACCACAAAAATCATTTTTTAGTTTAACCAGTAAAATGAGAGCTGTAAAATAGTAAAAGAATCATTTAAATTCGACATTTCGTTATGAGGTTAAACATACAGCCATTTAAAGAATAAATATTTGAGAAATCAGCCTTCAAAGTTTATGATTTCGGGCATTTCTCAGGTAGAAACCAATACCAAATTGTTAAAAATTGTTGTTTTAACATTGAAAATGAGGAAAATAACAGCATAGCATGATCTATATATATATATATATATATATATAAAGGCTAGTCTACTGCAATAAAATAGATTTTAAAAATTTTGATATCCAGTATGTTTTGGCCATTATCTCTGAAACAGGATTTGCAACGAGTGAGTGGTTTGGTTTGTCTTTGCCACATAGATTTTGCATTCATAAGGCGAGACTTCTTTTATTTCTTGTTTTTCGTACTATTTTTTTTTGAAGATCATCAGAGGAGGGCAAAATAAAAATAAACTTTTGTTTTCTTATTTAGCAAATAAGAGAAAATAAAAATAAAATTTTATTGGTGAATGTAAAATAGGATGGTTAAATGCTTCAAATTTTTATAATTAGGATGAAAAATACAGGCGTATCTTATCTTTGGAGATTTCAAGGCAGCGGAGAGCGTAATAAAAATAAAGAAAAAGTTTTATTTTTTTCTGAAATTCCCACTTTTTCATGGCGGCGGGTGCACTAATTGCTCAAAAATAAAATTTTATTTTTATTCAAAATTATTAATATTTGCAGTCTGCGGGTTGGCTAAACAAGGTATAAAAAAGTCTCGCCTAATTGGGAAAAGTTGCTATACTTTGTATGAGAGCAAATACAGGTATGTAAACAGAGAAACAAGAGTAGGAGACATGTAGTAACTTAACTAAGCCTGGGTTAAATTTCAAGTGGATCATTATAGAACACACAAGTTCACACATGTGGTTATTTCCTTCGGCTAGTTAACAACTTCCACATACTAATCTGGTCATATTCGTATCCAACTGCTACCTTCATTACTGACAGACCTCATCAACATATGTACAAATTCCTTGCAATAATTCCAAAAGGTCTACTACCAGAGTCTCGGGAAAAAAACCACAACTTGCTAAAATTAATGCTTAGGTTACACACGTAACTGCATGGTATGGTTATCGCTACCCTGGGAACAACATGCCAAGTGGCTAGAAAAAATTATTTGGAACAATAATTTCTTCTTGAAGCTAAGTTGACATATACTTGAACCCAGGCCTGTAATTAAATACATATTGTTCAAATGTCCATCTAATTAATATGGAAGAGTCGCCAAAAGGTTAAATAAATACTCAATTCAACTTCTATTGTACTATCAGAAGCCAGTATTACATGTATAAATATGTAGGATTGAAATTTATAATTTACTAATCCTAAGGGCAACCTACTGGTGTCATGAGGGATTTAGATTCAAGAATGCTTCATTTATTTTTAAGAATATTAATTAATATTAACATAAAATTACTTGATTACTAGATAGCATTTTCTATAAGCATTATAATTTATAGTTAGTAAATTTATTTTTTAGCCCTTTCTATAATTAGGTTTTATTAATTGCACCTTTTTAATCTCCTATTATTTAATTCTTAGAAGGTTGATATATGGAAAAGATGTGCTTTCCTGGTTAAAATTAAAAAGGGAAACATACAAACAGTTAAAGACAACGGCTTTAGAGCGGAGAGATGGAAGAAGTGGTTGCCACGAAACTGTCAATTGGCAGAATACTTGATGATTACGATTTAAGTCTACATGGACTACTCTAGATACTTCTTTTTTATCTTGTAAATATTACCAAAAGATGATCAAAAGATCAATTCACATGATTAATCAAAGTTTTAATATGTTCCATCCCCCTTTTGTTAACTACATTATGTGAATTTCCCTAATTACGTAGTGCATTGAATGTAATGAAACCAAAGGATTTATCACTGAAACTTATTCTGAAGGGATTGTTAATGTACAACATTGTCTCCTTATCAGTGCAGACAATAGAATGTGCCTTGTTAGCTACTGCAATGTACATAATTGACTTTAATGACCAGTTTATACAAACAATAAATCAAAAGTACAACATGAACTACGCAACCTAATATTGACAGATAAATGACTAATGACCAATATCATTGCGTGGAGTAAGATCAGAGATTGACAAAAAAAATTTTTGCAACGTTCAAATTTCACTGCTACTCATAGTCACCATTTGAGACACATTGCTATCTTCAGAGCTCTTACAGTATAACTAACAATTAAAAAGGATGATTAAATGGCTTTGGATGACAATATTATTCAGTTGCTAACACATTTGAATGGGTTGAATTTCATAATATACAAACTTAAATGACCTTTTTACACCAAAAAAATGGTTGTGACGAACATAAAATTATGATTTTTTTTTATTGATACCAAATTGAGTTCTATACTACAGTATGTGATTCAATCATTATCACAGGGTTTGAATGGGGTTTGCGGTGGTTTTTTTTGGGAGGTTTAGCAATACCCATTTTTTTAATACCATGATCAGAGGAGGGCGGAAATTCTCTACGGTAGGCGGAGAAAATAAAAATAATTTGATTTGATTTGAATGAAAATTAACTTTTAAAAATTTTCATTTTTTGTGACCCCCCGTCACAAAAAATGCACTATCTGGGCAAAAATAAAATTTTATTTTTATTCGAAATCACCATTATTGGTGGCGTAGGATTCGCTAAACAAGGTATAAAAAAGCCTTACCTAAGCCAGGCTAAGATTACACCAATATTTTGAGTTTTTTGCATTTTAATTTTTGTTAAATTTCTAAAAATTCTACTAAAAATTTCAACCGTTATGTTGGTTGTTACTCATACCAAATTAACATGATTGCATAATCTAATTATTTTTAAATAATGTTTAATGTCAAATTTTTTTACCAAGTGAAGTAAATGATTGTCGCATAATATTTCAATTGGTTATTCCACACTCAATGAGGTGGAACCAATCAGTACACTACGTTTTGAGTGGTGGCGTGGTATAATATAACACAAATGTAAACATGAACAAAATATGCCATTCAACACTAAGCTACTATAAATCATTTACAAGCCTATCGAAAGCATAAACTAAATCTCTACTTAATGAATATTTCATAAAAATATTTTTGCTAGAATTTTATCATGTTTACAAATGGATGCAAATTTCCTATTAAATATCCAATATCCATAGTATTTTTCGGACTCAATGTTATTGTAAAAATTTGAGTTCAGTATTTATGTACACCAAGATTAGTGCATCTTATAATTATTCCACACAAATAATTATTTCTATTACAATTATTGTCAATAGGATTGATTATGGGGCAAGTTTTTTTTTTTTTTTTTTTTTTTGGGGAGGGGGAGATTTTAAGAATCAGAATTTATATACTGTAGTGCCTATCATAATCCAGAGAATATATTAGGTGCTGGCATCATTAGTCCCTGGTCAGTGGATACTGAGCTGGCAAACTGTTACATTTTGTAAGAGTCATGCTGCTTTACACACATAACTCATACGTTCAATGCCATATCAATCAACCAGGTACTCATTTATATTCCTAGGTGGAGAGAGGCAAAAGCAAGTAAAGTGCCTTGCCCAAGGACACAAGCAATGCAACAAGCATCGGTCTCAAACCAACGATCAGGAGTCCAATATCCCTTTCTTTGTGGTCAGAAATATGAACCCCTCACTGATGACTTCAGGCTAGCCATGCATAGACACCACAGTATTGTAAATACACCACAGTATTGTAAATCTGTATTGTAAGTCTGTAAAGTGGCTAATCTCTTTAGAGCAAGCAGGTTACACTCGGCATACAGTATTGCCTATGAAAAAGTATAATAAATTTTTAAAAATAAAAACATTCCTCTTACTTACTCAACTAGCTTTCTGGGCCTTTTTATCCAAGAAATAGCAAATAAACATTAGTTAATAATATAAACTTTTGTCAGGTAACAGCAATCTGGGATTATTATGTTCATATACTAAATACTCAGTATGACAAAATTGAACATGTTTGAGATATAAATAAAATAGGCACCCAGGGCATGGAATATTATAATTAATTCTTTATACTTTTTTCTAAACTCATACCGCAGCAAATTTATAAAGTAGCTTATTTATGGGTCAGTAAATTTGGTTTTAAAACTGATTTTTATTCTGTATTATGCACTTTTTAACAACATTTTTAAAAAAACCCTCCAAAAAATAATATTTTCATACTTGTATTCAAGGTTGTTGGTCAGCTTTTGTTATTTAAGGGCAACAAGTCTTTGTTGCACAGTTAACACCTCGGACATGTTCACAATCATTGTTTGTAATTAAAACAATAATTTTAGTGATAACACCCCAGATTACCGAACAACTGGGACTAGAACAAATAGTTAAACTTAAATACAAAGGCCAGTGAGAAATACCAATAGAAGGATCAATAATTTGTCAGACACACTCTTCACAAAGTAATTTTTAGTGCAAGAGTTGTATTTAAGCCTTGTTAGGTACTGTAT